GTGGGCCTGAGTGCAGAAGCGCTAACAGTCCAGCAATATGCTGATGTATTGTCCAAGTGTTTGGGGAAAGACATCCGCGATGCAAAGGTGAGTTCTTATGAGACATCAGTGTGATCACAAAAGGCCACCTCGGTTAACATTCCACTAACTTATAAATTCTGGTACAGATTTAGGTAGGATTGAGTTTAGACTGTCAGAAGAAATTGAAAGTTCCAGTTCCGCAAATATATCTTCATTGCTTGATGCAGATGAATCCCTCCCAAATGGCTTTATTTCTTTGGCTTAGGGTTAATCAGCTTGTTAAAGTAAGATTACTTTTGGGTGAAGAGAACTTAAAATCGGAAGACCCAGATACAGCTTTTTCACATGTGCTATCCCAGCCCCTCTCAGAAGTCCTCACTGCTGACCACTTCAGTCTGCCAGAGCTAGCTGGTGTGGGGCAAGGCACTAGCTGCGAGCTTCAGCTTCCTCATTTGTAAAGTGGGGAATGATAGTATCTATTTCAGGGTGTTCTTGTGAAAATTACAGAAAATACGTGTAATGGGCCTGCCATAGTATTTGGCGCATAGTGGAGATATATTGAGTACCTTTTATGAACCCAGCGCTACTTTAAGGAGTTTGCAGCAGAGTTGGGGTGAAAAGGTCGATGCACGTGAAGTCACTGTGGTCATTACAAGACATAACCCTGTAGGTGGTTAATTGTGTTGTCCAGACTGTCTGTGCTATTGGTGACCAGAGAAGGCTTCGTGGAAGAGGTGGGCTTGACTGGCCACTGAGGGAGGACAATACTGCATGCAGGTGGAGGGGAGCAACAGGGCTGGCCTGGCTAAATGCTACAGGAGACATGAATGAAGTAGAGGCAGTATAGGGAAGTAGGCAAATCCTGTCTCTGCCCTTATCTATGTCGGGAATCTTGGCAATTTACTTGATTTCTCTCAGCCTTGATTTCTTCATATGTTCAAAAAAGTTATTATACTTCCCTTGTAGGATTATTGTGAGGATGAAATGAGATACTCATGGCAGGTGCTTGGCACTGGATCTGGCACTTAGTAAGCCCTCAATAACTGATCATGCCACAAATCATGCAGGAATGGCCTTGACTAGAGTGTGGCTAGGACAGACTTCTTACAGAAAAGTGAGTCTACGGCCATACCACCCCTATTTTGTATGATTTCGGAAGCTAAGCCGGGTCGGGCCTGATTAGTACTTGGATGCGAGAAAAGTGACAATTGCCGATATTGGGCATTACCAGCCATTTTCCCAATCAGGTGTTCATAAGAGGAAGGAAAAAGAGGCCAGGCGCAGTGGCTTATGCCTGTAATCCCAACACTTTGGGAGGCTGAGGCAGGAAGATTGCTTGAGGCCAGGAGTTTAAGAGCAGCCTGGGCAACATAGCAAGACTCCATCTCTACAAAAAAGAAAAAGCAATTAGCTGAGTGTGGTGGCACATGCCTGTAGTCACAGCTACTCAGGAGGCTGAGGCAGGAGTATTGCTTTGGCCTGGAAATTTGAGGTTGCACTATTGCCTGAGCAACAGAGTGAGACCCTGTCTCTATTAAAAAAAAAAGAGGAAAGAAAAAGAGAACAGGCTGTTTTCAGGACACAATGATAGATTGAGTAGTTGCAACAGGGACCTTATGGCCTACAAAGCCTGAAGTACTTATACCTAACGCTTTAAGAAATGTTTTTCGACCCCTGTTCTAGAATGTTTCCTAGAATTAGGGATAGAAGGTTGGTTCCTCTTTGCATCAGCAGCTCTTGGTCCTTGAGTCTTGAGGGGATATCTAGATTTCCAATTCAGCTTCAGCTACTGGAGTTGTGAGGAGGTGAAGAGATCTTTTTTCTGGTAAACTACTGTAGGTGTCAATCTAGCCACCTGCAAAATCCCCTGTACCTGGGTGCGGATTTACTTCTCAGTGACCCCTTTCTCAGGGCATTTGCATTTGGGTCTTATATTTGTTTTGTCCTGTGGGATTTGAACTCTGCAAGGAAGGAAAGAAAGAAGGAGTGTGGGTGTGTGGGGTGTGTGTGTGTGTGTGTGTGTGTGTGTGTGTGTTTATTCTCAGAGGACGGGGTAGACATTGTTCTTGATGGCTGAGAACTGCGCAAGCATCTTTCAGTCATATACCTGGTCCCTGAGCGTTCTTGGTACACAAGTTATTTCATAATGCAGCTGAACCTTCTCTGGCACCAAAAGTTCTAGGGCATTGGAGGCTGAAATTTCTGCAGAGTGGTTAATGCTGTTCTTACTAACTAGTCTGACTTGAAGCACTGTGCAAATTCTGGGGAGGGATGCATCTGACCACAAGGTGGCGCTCCGGCCTTGGAAGTCTGACTTCCACCTGCCTCAAGTGGTGTGAAACTGGCTGGAACCGTCTAGCCCGAAAAGGAAGATGGTTCTTTCAGAAAATAAGACACAACAGAACAAATCTCTTTCCTTCAAAAATCTGCAGTAAAAGAACCCCATATTTTACTGAAGCATGTTAGGTATCAAAGTCACAGAATGAAAGAGTCACTCAAGGAGACAGACATATTAGGAGTCATCTTCTGTGCTTCTCACACAGACACTATTCCCAAACTCAAAGTTTAAATTTTTTTTCTGATTTAAAAAATGACAAATTCTTATTGTAGAAAACTCAGAAAATTATGACAAAGAAAATAAAAATCACACACAGGTCAATCTCTCAAAGATAGCTACTATTAAGATTTGGCAGATTTTCTTTCCTTTTTCCTGTAAATATAAAAATATAGGCCAGCCTGGGCGCGGTGGCTCACGCCTGTAATCCTAGCTCTCTGGGAGGCCCAGGAGGGCGGATTGTTTGAGCTCAGGAGTTCGAAACCAGCCTGAGCAAGAGCGAGACCCCGTCTCTACTAAAATTAGAAAGAAATTAATCGTACAACTAAAAATATATAGAAAAAATTAGCCGGGCATGGTGGCGAATGCCTGTAGTCCCAGCTACTCAGGAGGCTGAGGCAGGAGGATCGCTTGAGCCCAGGAGTTTGAGGTTGCTGTGAGCTAGGATGACGCCACAGCACTCTAGCCCAGGCAAAAGAGTGAGACTCTGTCCCAAAAAAAAAAAAAAAAAAAGTCAGTGTGCTGTCAAATGGCTTATGGAAAAAACTTCAGAGTTTCTTGGATTTAGGATTTAGGCTAAAAGATTATGGACCTGTATCATCATTAAGGTAAATGGTATCCTTTCAAACTATTTTAAATGTGGGCTCTAACATTTCCTGTCTTTTTATTTGTTCTTAAAAGATCACCCCGGAAGCATACAAGAAGCTGGGATTCCCCGTGGCAGAGGAAGTAGCCAATATGTGTCTTTTCTATCAAATGAAGCCAGATCGTGATGTCAAGCTCACCCACCGACTAAACCCCAAAGTCAAAAGCTTCAGCCAGTTTGTGTCAGAGAACAAGGGAGCCTTTAAGGGCCTGTAGAAAATCAGCAGCGCAGACAGCCCCTGACCACACAGCCTTTCTTCCCTGATCTCATTCCTCTTTGCAACACATCATTCACAGTTATAGAACATGCTAGAATGCAATTATTTGTAACACAAAAGGATTTCCTGCACTCCTCTCTTCAGTAGGAAACACTGCATTGGTGATTTGACACAGTGGTTTGATTCACATTTAACTTTCCGGCTAGTGATAAGGGTAGTGCAACTGTTTGCTTACATGAGAAGCCCCAAACTCATATCACCATTTGTAGCTCTCTCTCTGCAAGAGCCAACTTCCCTCAAAAGACCCTGGCCTGAGGAACTTGGAGCTTCTTCCTAACATGAATGGGAGGCCACTCAGGTTTCTCCTGGGTGAGTGATCTCAATCCCTGGCTCTGAAATTCCCCATGGCAGCTCCAGTTTTCTCTAGGACATTGCGAAATTCTTAGTGAACTTTTAAGTCATTGGAATTTTTAAAAATGAATATCTTTGTAGAATTTCTGGAGAACATGATGTTCAATGAACAAGCACAAGCACGAGAAACTCTAAAATTCAGTTTTTGCTTCAAGGTTGGAAGTTCATTCTCTGATTCATTCATTAAATCATCTATTGAATCATCATTCAATTACTTATTTATTCATTCGTCTATTCTTCATTTACCCGTTGCACAGACATTTTTTTTTAGCAGCAGCACTGGTGGTACATTTGTGGACTTTGCTCCCTTCCTATGTGCTTTCTTACTGGAATGATCCACTCTCCAAAGGCCGCTGTGGCTCCTTTTCAGTTTGTGGTTGGGTTTGTGTCATGCCAGGGCAAGAGGGGCCATCCACCCATTGAGCTCCAAGTGAAACCCAGAGGATTTGCAGTGGGCGAAGGCCAGGAAACTGGCCCTACAGGGCCTCGTAGGGAAGTGGAAAGAGTAGGTGACAGGGGGCCCCACACAACCTTTGCATATCTCTGGCCAGCATTTTCTATACCCTATTGCAACATTCTTATTTACTGCTAATAGTTTTCTTCCTGGCTGTGAGTGACTTACACTCCTCTTTATCCTGGTGCCTGGAGATCATAATAGATGATCAATAAATGCTGATTGACTAAATGAGTGTGTAATGTTAATCGATCCTATCATTACAAGAAAAGAGAAGAACAGGTGCGCAGGTTGAAGGGGGAGTGGAGATAAGAACTAGCAACGGATACTTTAAGGGTGAGAGATTGTTCACCTCTGGGATGGGGGGAACCCCACTACCCAGCGTGTGGTGCTGGGAGCGACGGCGAGGACAGGGACGGTGGTGCCCGTGTGAGAGGAGACAGCAGCCTGGAATCTGACTCAGGGGAAGGACACGTGGGGCTGCCAAACGTCAGCCTTTTTTTTTTTTATCTTTTAAGGCATCAAAGGGTAAATGTTTGTTGAATAAATGATGTTGCAGATAAGTATCAATTCTTGGGGGAAATCACAATCAAAGTGCGTTTGAGGACCACTTTCCTTTTCCAAGCACAAAGCCCTCTAGCAATAATTTCTATGCAACTTAAACACTCAGCCTTGGGAAACGGGCCTGGATAAATTTCTAAAAAGGGAAAAGAAAAAAAAAAACAAACCCTAAACTAAAAATAGAAGGCATATTACTCATCTGAGTGGGCCACGCAGGAAGAATGGCTGCTGTTCCCTAAATGAACCATGGGGTCCCCCAAATTGAGAGCAACTATAGGCCCGAGAGTCCCCTGGCCCCACTGTGCGTTCACTGGGAGGGTAGATTGGTTCTTTCGGTCTGGGACAAGGCTGAGTAGCCATGGGCCAGCCCCAACCTTTGTTTCTGAAAAGTATGAAAAGTCCTTTCAGGATTTAGAACCAAACTTTACAAGTGGCCAATCTGAAATGAAAACATGAACTTTAGGGACCTGGATCTCACATAGCCAAGAAGGTAAAAGAACTTCAAAAGTTTGTGTATTTGTTGAAAGTGGACACGATATTCCACTACCACCCTCTCCCTCTTCTGCCCAACAGTCTCCAGGCCAAGGAAGAGAAAAGATTCCCTTTGGAGTTGCTCAGGGTAGAGACTTAGGGACTCAGGAGAGGCTCGGAAGTAAAAATGGGGCCATGCGTCTCAGTGAACAAAACTGCCCTCTTGTCCATGAGGGAGTTGGGGTGTTGGTGGGGGATGAGGGAACAGAAGGAGATTTCTCTCTGCGATTCTAGAAATGTCCCTAGAAACTCAAGCTATGAAGTCAGATAATTCTGGATTTGATTGTCTCTGCCACTGACTAGTTGTATGAACCTGGTCGAATTGCTTGGCATCTGGGCTTTAGTTTCCCCATCCTTACAAGGGGCTGCTGGGAGGACTAAAAGGTCAAAAGTATGAGAAGTACTTTGTGTAGTCTTTGGCAGATAGTAAGTGCTCAGAAAACAGCTGTAATTATTCTTGAGCATAATTCCTGCCCTTGCTTCCTTCATATGGCTCCCCGAGTTCTGAGGTGCCCACCAGGCTGCTCCACGTGTCCCCTGACCTGCCCACCTAGAGCATGATAGACTGCAGGTTCATCATGCTCCGCCCGCCACTGCCACCAGGTGTCTCCTCCCCGTCCCACCTCCCTTCTCCTCCCACTAGATGGCAGCCGAGTCTAGCATGAGAAAGAGTCACTCCGACCTCATCCCAGGTAGATTTTTTTTCCAGGAGCTTTTTTGGGGACAAAGCCAAAGGAGATAGTTATATGGTGGGTATTATAGTCCATGTGTCATCGGTCACCCTCCATGGTCATTTCAACAGATATGTACTGGGCACTTTCTCTGGGCCTGGCACTGGCACGAAGAGCCTTCTCTGTGCCCCATTTGGGATTAAGGGAAGGAAAAGAAGAACCAGAACATTATCCAGTGGCTCTAGTTCCAGCTCAACCCACAGCAGAGGGAGGCCCTTCAGGCCAAAGGTGAGCCTTCTGCCAGGGCCTGCTCTCCGCCTGGTGGCTGGGGCCGAGCCTCGCTCCATGCTGGCTCCTGGATCTGGCTTCTCCACCTGCCATGCTGCCTGTCGTTCTCTCTCCCACCAAGGGACCCTTGCAACTCTGAGGTCCATCAAGACTATACAAGAGGCAGAGACAGTTCACCAAAAGGAAACTGGGACACTGTTAAAAGAAAAAAAAGGAAATGCACACCTGGTAGTCTTTAAACATTGTCTGCTCTCCAAAGTAACGGAGTAGAACACGCTGGCAATACAGTCATGTCTTGGACCCCTTGCAGAAGTGAACAGGAAGGCAATAACATGAATTTCAAAACATAGAGTATAAGTTGCTATAGCATTTTTGAAGCGATACCCAGCTGAGTGTTGCAAGAGGATTAAAATTGTGCACACCTTTACTTGGTAATATTTCTTCTAAGAAACTGTCTTGAGTAAATAGACACAAATATAGAAAAAAATAAAAATTTGAGGATTTTGGCCAAGTGCGATGGCTCACGCCTGTAATCCTAGCACTCTGGGAGGCTGAGGCGGGCGTATTGTTTGAGCTCAGGAGTTTGACACCAGCCTGAGCAAAAGTGAGACACCATCTCTACTAAAAAATAGAAAGAAATTATCTGGATAACTAAAAAAATATATAGAAAAAATTAACCGGGCATGGTGGTTTATGCCTGTAGTCCCAGCTACTTGGGAGGCTGAGGCAGGAGGATCGCTTGAGGCCAGGAGTTTGAGGTTGCTGTGAGCTAGGCTGATGCCATGGCACTCTAGCCCGGACAACAGAGTGAGACTCTGTCTCAAAAAATAAAAAAAATAAAAAAAATTTGAGGATTTTATATGGAAGTGCTCATGAGAACAAAAAAATGCAAGTAAGCAAAATGTTCAGTCCACATTTAAGGAATAGATAATTAAATTATTGAAGTTTTAAAATTCCTTTAAATTTTAAATTCTTTAGAACTAGCATTTGTGAAGCATGTTTACTGAAAAAACTTATGTTTTAAGTGAAAAATACTGGACATAAAATAGCATTGTATCTAGCCTAATCCCAAGTGATAAACTATACATGTACATAATAAAATATTGGGAGGAAAGACACCAAAACACTAATAGGGGTTTTCGTTGAAGTGAAATTTTGGTTGATTTCTATTTTTCTTAAGTTTCTCATTTTCCCCAGTTTTCCATAACAAAAATGTATTACTTTAATGTTGACCTTTTATGTAAACAGTTATTTTTAAAATTTAACAAATATTACAGATTGTCCTAATTCTTCCTTACGACACATATAAAAATTGTTATTTATGAGTGTTTGCTATGTTCTAGCCACTATGCTAAGAGCTATGTATACCAACTTTCATTAAATCTTGTACCAACACTCTAAGCAAGATTATCTCCTCATTTTACAGCTAAAGAAACATACTGTAGAGAGTTTAGGTAACTTGCTCCAAACCACACAGCTATTGGGTGGAGAGCGGGTTTTAAATCTAAGTCTGTATGACTCCAAATTCCATGAGCTTTCACTGTATCAGAACCCCAATCACTATGCAGTTCTCAAGCTATGAAAGGATTGGGTCATCAAATTCATTCAGAGTTTAGTCGTTGGGAATTTGGACATATTTTTCTTAGAAATAATATCTAAATGCTAATCTGCAACACTGTGTAAAGATCAACCCTCCGAAGCTGGTGAAACCACATCTGCTTGCACACTGTGAAACCACGACTTTCAATAGGGTGTTGCTTGTGAGCCCTGTCTCCCAGCTGCACACAGGAGAGGATAACAAAACCAACACTGGGGTGAGGACGAGGCAGTACTGGGGGGCCGGGTCGCAAAGTTCCCGTATGTGTACAGAAAGAGGAAGCAGAGACAAGGTGTGCCTCAGGGTATGGCAAAGCCACAGGTCCGGTGGCTGAGTTGGGGGCAAGGCAGAGGTCAAGGGCGAGCATGTGGGAGCCGTGCATGGAAAGCTAGCGAGCCCTCAGGAGGTCTTGGGACATCAAACCCAAATGTTTCCAAGAGCTGGGCTAGTAAATGGAGGAAGCAAGCCAGATGTGACACAGAGGG